CAATTTTGAAATATCATTTTTATATTTTAAAAATAATTTCTCATAATCCGAAGCCAACCCATTATATTCCTCTAATAACTCATCATAAGACAAATCATCTAATTCGGATGAGTTAAAAGTTACCTTAGAATCTTCCCCGAATGCCATCAAGTACAAGTTAGCTACTTCTTGTTCCTCTACATCGAAACCTTCTTTATCGCTCCATGTAGCCTCGTGAGCCTTGTGCTTACTCTTTGATTGACCCTTTCTCTTCAATTATGGGCAATCATATTTTACATGCCTCGGCTTTTTGCATTCATAGCAAATGATAGGGTCATTCTCTTTTGGTTCATTTTTTAGGCCTTCATTTCGTTTGAATTTTCTTCCTCGGTAAGGTCTCATCATTTTTCTGAACCGTTTGGCAAACAATGCCATTTCCTCATCATCGTCATCTTCATCTAAATCACTCTCATCTTTTATGAATTTGAGAGCAACTCCAATGTTTTTCTTCTTCTCATTCTCCTTTGGTGTCTCGTCAATCTTATCGAGGTCCACCTCATCTTCAAGCATCATTTCATGAGTGAGGAGGGAACCAATTAGCTCTTCAAGAGTTAAGGACTTCAGGTTCTTAGCCTTGATGAATACCGTCTTCTTGGATTGCCATGATTTTGGAAGTGAGTAAACTAACTTCCTCACTAACTTTTCGTTTGGAATGATCTCTCCATATGATTTGAGACCATTTATAATCGTAGAGAATCTATCCGTCATAGCTTTGATATCTTCTTTTGGTTTTATCCTGAAATTTTCATAGCTATGTGTTAGAAGACTAATTTTAGATTCTTTTACCTCATCGGTGCCTTCATGAGTGACTTTTAGTTTATCCCATATTTCTTTGGCGGTTGTACAAGATGAAACTCTTCCATATTCATCTGGTCTAAGAGCATAAAATATGATATGGATGTCTTTGGAGTTGAGCTGGAACATTTTTGTCTCTCCTTTACTCCACAATCTTGGATGAGTGAGAGGCTTGATATAACCGTCTTCTACAATATTTCATGCTCCCATGTCACTTGCTTGAATGAAATACATCATCCTATTCTTCCAATAGGCATAGTTAGCTCAATTTAAGAAAGGAGGCTTGTTGGCGGGCATCGAATCGAGACCGGAGTCAACATTTGAAGTAGAGGCCATTGATGACTTGATAATCGATGTAACTCTTCCCGAATCGACTCAAGAGGCGATTAAACCTTCAAATGAGTGAGGCTCTGTTACCAATTGTTTAGTTAATAGATCGATGGAATAGGCCAAGAGGGGGGTGAATTGGCAATTAAAATTTTGGTAGAAGCTTTTGCAGAAAATTGAAAAGATTTGCATAGCGATTTAGAGTGGTTCGACTTTCTCAACCAAAGTCTACGTCCACTACCTTAGCTATCCACACTAAGGATTTTCCAACAAATTCACTAATTTGTTCTTTCTTTTGAGGCCAAAGAGATAACCTTACAACTCCCTCAAGAATATACCCTAATTCTTGAGAACACTCTTTCTCAAAGAGAAGATTACAAATTTGCAAACTTACAAGGAAATTCTCACAAGGTAGATTGTTTGCACAATTCTAGAACAAAGAAAAGAACACTAAAAAATGAATATGATTGAGTACAAGAAGTGTTCTTGAAAGCAAAATGAATATTGAATGAAAAATAGGCTTGAATTGCTCAAACAATGAGTTTGATGCTTTCTCTTTGATTCTCTCTTGATTCTAGTTGCTTGTTGTTTCTTGTTGTTGATCAATGGCTTCTAAGCTTGTTTAAATACACCTTCAAATGATTCTGAACGTTGGGGATGCTTAGTGGAGTCAATAGAGCCGTTTAAGTGTGAAAACAATTAATTAAAGCAGTTGGGAGCGTCAGTGCATCGATGCATACCCATGGTGCATCGGTGCATCAGTGTAAAAATTTAAATATTTTGACTGTTGGACCCTTAGTGCATCGGTGCACTAAGAGTGCATCCATGCATAAAATGCATTCGATGTTTTGAAAAAGCCTGAGTGCATCGATGCATGATCTTGTGCATCGATGCATCAAATGCACTGAGTGCATCGATGCATGGTATGTGCATCGATGAATAATATGCATTCGATGTTTGAAAAATTAATTGGTGCATCGATGCATGTATTGGTGCATCGGTGCATCACTCTTAAAAATTGATTTTAGGCTTGATTTCGGTTCAAAATACTTTGTGAAAATTGCTTAAAAAATAGTTTAAGTATAAAACATAATTTTACACATTTAGTAAGGTTTAAAATTGATCTTGAAAGACTTGGAGTAATAATTTGATATTCGATTAATTAAATCAAATATTCTTAGAAAATTATTTGTAAAATCTTAAAATTCATTTAAATTTAATTTGTTATATCGAAACATCAAAATGTTTTCAACAATAAAGGATGACTGTCATGCTCGATTAGCATAACTGAACACTATTAACGATGAACATCATTAATTTAATTTATAAAAATTTAAAATCTTAAAGTAATCAGCGTATAATTAAAAATTTAAAGATAAAATATTTAAAATAAAATATTAATTACATTATTTTTCATAATCTTTTTTGGGTAAACTATATCATTGACCACTTAATTATTGCCCTTTTCATCTGACCACCATTTTTGAAATTTTGTCAATCAGGTCACTCAACTATTTAAATGCATTCAATCAAGCCACTTATCGTTAACATTTAACGAAAGAGATGACGTAGAAATTAATAAAATTGATATAATTATACATTTAGTCCTTATTCTTACATAATCTATCAAACTGGTCATAATTTTTATTTAATTCAATATATTTTATTCTCCAATCATATGACGACACGTGTCATGACATCATTTGAGGGCTTTTTTAAATTTAATTTATTTTTAATTTTAATAATTTTTCCTCCAAGCTATTGAGGAAAGTTGAATTTGGATCTCCAAAGTGGATTAAGCAGCCTCTACCACTGCGTCAACATTAGTTCTTGATTTAACATTTACGACCTTTGTTATTTATCATATGAAAGCCTGAAAAATAAAAACAAAAGTAAGAATAAAACAACTTGAACCATAGCTTATTATAAGGGATAGGCACGGGTAGGGCAAGCCGGTTTTTTGTCCTCCTTTGACCCCGACTTGAAAATATATTATTTATATCTAATCTCATTCGACTCAATTTGAATATATTAATATTTTAAAATAGTTAAAATAATATATTTATAATTATTTATTATATTGTAAATAGTTAAAATAATTCATGGTTTTAAGGTCTAGTTTGAGCTTCAACTGAGTTAAATTTAAGATTTTTTTTTATTTCAAACTTTTTCAAGCTTCAATTCATAGTTTCGAAGTTGAGCTTGAAAATTTCAGGCTCACTAGTTTTCGAGCTAAGTCGAGCTCTATTTTAGAATTTTCATGTTGAGTCGAGCTCAACAATACTCGTACTCGAACTTAACTCATTTAGAACCCTACATACACCAATCTTTTTTATAACCTATTCATATCTTATATCCTCCCAAACACATTTGGAACTTATTTGATTTAATTGATTATCCTTTAGCTATTTGTTTTGTAAGTCGGACTATATATATTTTCCAAGCACATGAATAAAATATTGAGTCCTTCCATCACATATTTTCACCATTAGAGTTTATTTTCTAATATAAAACGCTTTATTTGTAATGTTGTTTTAGAGAAAATTCTTAGTGTCGTTAGTCATCGGTAGGGTTGTACACGAGATTCAAACTCGATGGATTTCGAACATATCTGATTATATCAGGTCAGATTTTAAAAAAAAATCGGATTCGAATTTGAGTTCGAGTCGAGAAATCTTTTTAGAGGCTATTTTTGAGTCAGCTCATGCTTTTTTAGAGATTATGTTTTAGTTGGGTCAGGATTTTTTTAAAAGTTATAGGGTTGAGGTTCAAATTTAGAGTGAAAAATATTCAACTTGACCCGACCCAAAAAAATATAAATTTACTTTATATATTTAGAGATAATTATAATAATATCCCTATATGTATAATTTTTTAATTAAATCCCTATATTTTATTAAATACAAGTAATAATTTTAAAAATATACTATTACTAGTTAGGTCAGATCGGATTAAGATTTTATCTAAAAAAGACAAGTCGAGTTCAGGTAGGGATGGGCATGGGTTAGGTTTTCGATTGACCCGACTCGACTCAAAAATTATACACCCTTTACCCGACCCAACTCAATCTAAAATAATATATTTATAAAAAATTTACTTTTATTTTATAAAAAATATGTATTAAATTAAAAAATAATAATATATAGAAATATATTATTATAATTATCTTTAAATATATAAGATAAAATATTTTTTGAATTAGATGTGGTCGGATATTTTTACCTTTACACCGAGCATAACTCGACTCAAACATAACCTTTAAAAAAATCCGACTCGATCCAAGCTTAATTTTTTTCTAAGAAAATTAAACCGATAAAATCGGATCAGAACTCATCGAGTTCAAATCCTGTTCTCATCTCAGGTATATAATTTTCGAGTTGGATTCTTACAGGCAAGGTATATAATTTTTAAGTTAGATCAGGCATGGGTTTAGAAGGGAATGTTTCGATATCAACATCGTTGGTGAAAGTTCCACAAAGTGATCTAAGCTTATCCAAGTGATAGCAACAAAAGAAGAAGACGCTCAAACTAAAAATGATGATTATGAGGAAAGCAATGTTAACGAGAGAAAAGTGAAGGGACGGCCATGATCCATCCATGTGTTGTGGTAGAGAAAGATCACGACTCTCCATGCATATTACCTTTTACTCTTGTGACGTCGATAACTAGTGTTGCTGACAGTGGTGATCTTGTTTCTAGTCTCACACGTAGTAGAAAATATGAGTGTGGATAATTTGCATTTGATTTTCTAAGGTATGCATGTATTTATATAAAACGGTGAGATATACCAACTATTAATTACGTCTTTATATTGATATTTTGTTGTATAATTACATCAAGTCATGAGCCATAGAGAGAATGTATAGTCACATCAATTCATGAGCTATAGTGAGAAATCTAGAATATTCTCCATTTGTGCTCATAGAAAAGAAAACCTTAACCACCATAAACACGAAACTTAGGATCAACGCCAACGGACTCGAGAGTCTCAGCCCGAGACTTGGGGCTGTAAGCGAACATATCTGCCCGTGTGGGATCATCAATGGCATACTCATCATCACTCTTCTGTATATGAGCAACTTTCCTGAAAAGCGATTGCTTCACGAACTTGTCAGCCTCATCCAGCACTCGCTCCGGTTCCTCCACCTCCGGTAAACTCTCCCTCCTCTTCTTGTTAAGTCGAACATTCGGTGAGTTCTTCAGCTCTTGCACCACCGTGAAGAGCCCCAGTGAAGTCGACACAGCTATCATGCCCACTGCAACGTACGCCGCCACCAAATCGCCCTTCACTTTCTTCTCCGGCTGAGAGTGCCCGAAATCAGCTGTTGGTGCGTAGGGTTTCAGTTTCGGTGGCGTCGAGGTCGCGTACGTCGCTTTTCCTCGCAAATGATTGGTTAATTGCTTCAAAAAACCCTGGAATTATCACAAGATTATTTTAAATGAAAACGAGAGGAGAAAAGCAAAGTATAATGGAAATAAAAAGGGAAGAGAGAAGACTCACTGTTGATCTAAACGCCATGATTTGTTTCAGGATTGTAGAAACTGATGAAGTGTGTTTTTCAACTGATAAGTTGCTTGGAATCTTGTGCGGATTTATACAAGAAAGGAGATGAGAGTGGAGAAGCGGAGAGAGTTCTGGAGCAGAGAAGTGCAGTGACATTTGTCAGGATTTTCAGGTGTATAGTTCTAGCATAGAAGCTTCATGAAGGCACAGGTCTTTCAACTACAGTATTCAGTTTTGGGAAAACTAATAATTTAATATTTAAACTATCAGTTTAATCCGGTTTACTACTTATATTTTTTATTTTTTAAAAACATATTTAATATTTAATATTTGTTTCATTTTTGTATATTGTTGTTAAAAATTTAACGTTTTGGTACATAAACTAACAATTTCAGTCCTTTTTAATATTTAATTTTTTAATTTTTTTCAAAATCATATCTAACGTTTAGTTTTTATTTTATTTTAATACTTTTTCATTAAAAACTTAACGTTTTAATACCAAACTATCAATTTTTATCCATTTTGGTACCTAATTTTTATTTTTTTTTCAAAACTTAACATTAATTTTTAACCAGATATCAAAATGAAATAAAAACTAAAAATTAGATATGATTTTGAAAAAATTGAATGTTTAAATACTAAAACAGATTAAAATTGATAGTTTAATTATTAAACTCGTAATTTACCCTTATCTTTTTTATTTATGTTATCTTTTATTCCATTCGGTTTCATCATTGGGGCCAATAAAATATAAAGGCCTAATCCATCTTTGTCAAATTGTCTTTAAAATAGACCCCAATGAAGAAGCTCGCTGGCTCCTTCTCCTCGACGGTGTTTATTTCTATGCTGCCTCGACTTATTAAATAAATATTTGTATTCGATAGATTTATGGTTTTTACCTTAAATAGACGTTTAGCTCATGAAATATAAATTATTTTTAGAATAAAATTATTGAAATGCAACATTTAGTTCATAGAGTATAAGATTAATTATTAGAATAAGATTATTGAAATACAATATTTATCTTATGGAATATAAGATTATTTTTTAGAATAAGATTATTGAGATACAATATTATTTGAGAATATTGTATTATATTGTTTAGTTTAACAGAAATGTAATATTAATGTGTTTGGTTGAAAGAATATAAGATTATTTGGATGTATATTTTACCAAATAATCATTGTGATATATGCATTTTCAAAAGGTTCAATTTTCATATTAAATTATAAATATTCGAATGAAAATTCATATAAATATTTTAATTGTTACATTATTTAGATTTTGAGAAAAATGTATTTGCATATAATTAGTATAATTATTATATCAAACTTATATAATAATATTGTGATCTCAAATCAACAAAGATATTGTTTTTCAATGTATAAGATCTATATTTTTAATAAATCAAAGTAAAATATTAGTTTAAATAATTACATTTTTACAATAATTACATTTTTCACCTTATAAAATTATAAATGATTAATATGTTAAATATTAAAAATATAAAATAATTTTTACTACTCAAATTTATTAATATTTTACTAAATCAAATTCTTTGTATATTATTATGTTTATAGCTTTGAATAAAGCACGAAGAATAAGAATTAAGAATTATCCATATGAAAAGAATTTATTATATCAAGAGTATTTTTATCCAAAGTGATGGGAATTGTATAATATCTAAAAATTTGGAGGTAATGACATTCTCATAATTTTAACCAAACATTGCTAATATTGGTAATAAGTTGTACCTGGTAATGATCTTTTCTATGAGCCATACATGGGAATACAATTCCAGAGAGGATTATTCCCTTGATAATAATATTTTACGCCCCTAAACTTTTTTCTCATTTTCTAGTATTTGATTTATGTAAAATATCTTTTAAATTTAATTTGTGTATTTTTAACTTTTTTTTAATGTTTTACAATCTAATTTTTCGTAAATTTTTTTAATTTTTTATTTTAAAATACAGACATATAAAATAATAATTTTATATGTATATTTATTATTAATATAATATTTTAAGATCATTTTAATAAAATAAAAATTAATAAAATATCTAAAATATTTTTATTAAATAATTTTAATATTATAATAATATATTCAGTTATATTATACTAATATATGATATTATATTTTTATTTTAATAATATATAATAAATTATCAATATAATTAATAATATTTATTATTTTTATAAAATTATTATTATTAATTATTAATAATGAGTAATTGTTATAAAAATTTATTTATGTGGATGTTTATCGCTATCTATAAGATAGAGTTTTGATATACTTTTATTATTAGGACTTTAATATCCGTTAGATTTATGGTTCTATATGATATATGTTTTTTGTTCTTATAAATATGGAGTTTAGAGAAAACATTGTAAACAATTCATATTGAGACAATAATATAGTTCTCTCTCCTTATTCTTATATCTCTTCTTCTTGTTCTTGTTTCTTAGTTAGTTTTTATTTCACAACATGTTGTCAGCATGACTTGCTCAGAAACAATAATTTATTTACGTCGAATAATTGATCTATCATCCACGACTCTTCATTCAAGATCTTAATACACCACAATCTCATATAAGTATACTCTACACTGATTTTTGATATGTTAAGTGCATTCTATTTTTTGTTTAAGATATCGACCTTATATTTATTTTCGTTTGATTGTATATTAGTGTTTGATTTAAATCTTAAATTGATCTTTAATGATATTATAATAATGAATGACTATTAAAAGAAGATTATTTAATGTAATGTGATTAGATGGTTATTGGTTTTGATGTCACAGCTGATGTAGGTAGCTGTTTGGTATAGATCTATTCAATTTTCCTTCATTCCAAACTGTTCATGTATACATTTTAAGTATAATTTCAGTTACCTAGAAAAATATATTTTCGATGTGATATCTATAGTTCTAAAACTGATACTTAGAGATAATATATGCAAATTATTTATGTTGCCTAGACTTTAATGATGAAAATTATTTTAATATGTTCAATGATATGATAAGGTCGACATGTCTATGTGCTATATTTTGTTTACATTTGTTTCTTGTTAAGACGGTTGACACATGTTGAACTATGAATAAGTGAATATTATATTAATTATGGTCGAAATTTTATATGGATCATGAGTCTTGATAGTATTGATTTAATTAGCGTATTTGATTTGTAATGATTGGATATTATTTTATGAGATAAAGATAAATCGTGAAGGTTGATTATCCAATGTTATTTTCTATTGCTTATGAGACTCGACATTTTTTTAAATTTTATTTGTGGTTATAACATGAAAGGTTGTATGAGTGTTTGTGATAGTTTATGCGAAAACAACTATGATGATGATGATATTATTAATAGTCTTCGGGTATATTTATTATAGTTTATATTTAGGATAAGTCTGCTATGCTTAACGAGTATCACTAAGTAACACTAATGATGAGTAGGGATGGGTACGGGGCGAGGCGGGTTATTGGCCTCCATAACCTCGATTTAAAAATAAGTTATTTCAACCCGACCCCGCCCCGCTCTGATGATCATTAGCCTTTCTCCTGCTCTGAAACCGACTCTAGTTTTTAGAATAAAACCCCTAACCCGACCCGATGATTACAAATTTATGCATTTTAAATACCATTTCACCATTTGATCTTCCTCAATTAGAACAAAAGCATTCAATGTTAAAAAAAATACATAAACATGCGCAAAAATGGAAAAATAACAAAAAAAATCATTACATTATAGAACAATTTGAAAATGGAATGGCAGTGTAACCCCATAGACCCAACCTATGTGTTACGACTAGATCTAACGGATTACAATAAAAATTTCTAATATATTTTCAATAATTTAAAACCATATTATGAATAAACATCTTTGAAAACATAGTTAATAACAATAAAGTCCCAAACGAGTAATAAACGATGAGTGACTGAGTAAAATAAAATATTCCATAATCAGTATCGAAGTAAATCTAACTTCAGTAGCAAAAACAATATAAGTCGTAAAATAATTATTTCAAAATATGGGCACATGTCACTGAAAATAAAGGTAGTTTGGAAGATAAAAACATTACAATAAAATAATATTGTACGAATGTGTCGATCCTCCAAGTGCCATGTCCGGGGTGCCAATCCAAAAGTATCTAAAAAGGGAAAAAGTTTGGAGGAGTGAGATAGGGAGTTAAGTGTGTTCCAACAGTGCATAAATAAAACATACAATTAAGTTTCCAAAAGTATTCATTATAAAAGTTATGAAAACGTCAGTGGAGTTTTTAGTTTAATATATAGAATCACCCTCCAATCGAACACCATATGCAGTTCCCTAAAACTGCATCCATAAGGACTTACCCTAGGCCCAAAGGGCGTAGGAGCCAACCTAAGGGAGCACCTTGGGTCCATAAGGTCTTACCATAGCTGAAACTTAGGATCCCACCTAAGGGGAGTGCCCTCATGCCCATAATGACTTACCCAATGCACAAAGCAAATGAGCTATCCTAAGAAAATACCTTAGGGTTCATAAGGTCTTACCACAAAGCCTATTGTGCCTAGGATCCCACCCAAGAGTCGCCTTAGGTCCATAATGAATTACTAGTTTGATTAGAGCTGAAGCTACATAGACTTCATAAATGATCCCAGAGTATCCCGAAGAAGATAGTTTTCAAATAGTAGACAGTGGTAGCAGGAAATTCAGAGTTCAAGCATATATTTATTTATCAATAAAAATAATAACTAGAGAACATGTATCAGACAACCATGCTTTAAAACTTCAGTAAATCAGAAATCAGACTTGTATCATATAAAACATTCAAAAGTTTAAGAAAAGATCAGGCAGCCATATTGTAAATCAGATAAAGCAATCATGTGCACATGACGTTTCAAACAAATATTTAAAACATGTATATGGCACACAAGGAACACACCTCGCAAAAAAGTGATCAGTCCAGAAAATCTACCGAGCACCGACTTCACTAAGCTCTTCTGCTATACGATAACCTAGCTCAAATTAGAATAGGGTTATTATCGGAGTAGTATGCTAAGCTGAGTATCTAATAGGGTTACAGAAATATACAAGTAATCATAGGCTTTCGCAAATGAGCGGGTCGAGAGGTATCGGGTCAAGCGGAGGAACGATCGTGAGAATCACGGGTACCTTAATTAAACGATATCAAAATTCAGTTATCGTTCCTAAATTAAATTTACTTAATTAAAACACTTAAATAAATATTCATGTTAAGGTTTACAGGTCAATTTAGAGGCTTTCGGGTTAGAAATTGGCAAAACGGACTTCGAATACAAACTCATGACGTTGAAAAATAAAAATTATTACTTTTAAAATTTTTTGACTTTTTGGTCAAAGTCAACAATTAAACTTGGTCAAAGTCAAGTCAATGGGTTTGGTCAACGTTCAAGGGGCATGTCAAAGGGCAGGTCAAAGTCAATGGTTTAGGTCAAAGTTAACAAGTCAAATCGATTCGGGTTGACTTAGGCTGGTTCAGGTTGACTCGGTTCGGTCTAAGTTGACTTAGCCCGATTCGAGTTGACTCAAGTCGTTTTGGGTTGAAATGGGAGAGCCCCATGCGTACTTATGAAATGTGACAAAGTGTGACGGAGAAGACGGGGTAAGGGATGGCGGTTGATTACTCACAAGGAAACCAAACATCATTGACAACTAAAATTAATCCAAAAAATAGCCAAAAACTTCAATAAACAACCAAAATATGACTGGAAATTACCCAAAACAGTGATAGACGAAAACAACAGCGACCTTGGGTTTTCGATGGGTCTTCGAATGCTCCTCCACAGAGGATGGCTGGTTATTTTTAGAGTGACTGGTTAGGCTTCGATAGGAGAGAGGCGACGCTTCAGTTGGTGTGGGCGGTGTCATTCACTGGCAGATGGTGTCGTCGAATGAAGAGGGGCAAGCCGAACGATTTCCTCTTCCCTTGCATCGAACCACGACTGATCTAGGTGGTTAACGGCTGGAGATGGATTATCAGTTAACTCTAAAGTCAATGGTGGCAGCGTTGGAAGCAACGCAGGTCCGAAGAGGGTTAATTGGCCGTGGGGCGACATGTAAGGTGTGAAGGATGATGGGTTTAGGGAAAAGGGTTGTTTCACGGGGAAATAATTTTGTTTTTACTGACATCTTCCCTTCTCAACCACATATTTTTCTTCATTTTATTTGGATTGATAAGAGATGGGTAAATCCATAGTATAGTCCTTGAGTTTCCCTTTGAATTTCAGATAGGTTCAAAATTTTTAAGACATCGTCAAAATATTCCTCTTAATTATTATTATCCCAAAATTTTGGGGTGTGACAGACAGTGAAGGTTGATGTTGAATAAGATAAACGAGTAAGTTAGATGCAAACACCAGTTGTCTAGCAGTGTCCTGAAAAAATTAAAAAAATCAAATGAAGAATAAAGAATAAGAACAAAGCCTAATAATGATTATCCTTAGAAAATTAATGAAAGAAGATAACTAATATTTGAAATAAATAATAGAATGAAGTAAATTTTACAGCCTCCTTATCAGTACCAAGTAACTGAGTAGAGGGGAGGCAAAATAAAAAAATGGGAAAAACCCTAAAATGATAAAACTTAAATATATTATATATAAAGGGTATTTTAGTAATTTAAATCAGGTCGGGTCATGTCGATAAATTTTTACCTTAAGCTCAACCCCGAATCTAAAATTTTATAAAAAATTACCCCTACAAGGTCAGTTCGATTTGAAACCCATGGGTTCGGGTAGATGAGCACCTAAAGGTAAATTATTTAAAATAAAATATTAGTTACATTATTTTTCCATAATCCTTTTTAGGCAAATTATACTACTGACCATTTAATTATTGTCCTTTTTTATTTTGACCACCATTTTAAAATTTTTTCAATAAGGTCATTCAACTATTTAAAATCATTCAAACAAACCACTTGCCATTAACATTTAACAGAAGTGCTGACATATCAATTGATAAAATTAATATAGTTACATATTTTTTTTAATAAAAGGTACTTTGTATTAAGAAAATTACAAAGTAAACATCCTGAACGCCTCATTAAAAAAACCTCTCTAAACTTATACGGAGGAAAAAGAGTTCGCCATAGGATGGGAATTAACCATAAAGCAGGAAATGATACAACAATAATCAGCAAACATGGAAACAACCCACACACCATAGCGAATCACCTTATCAACCATACCAAACAGCCATGGAAAATAGGTGATTAGCAAACAAAACAATGACAGAGGATCATTGGAACTCAGCAGACGTAAATTCAAGCCTAACTCAAACCAGAAACAAACACCTGGACAGTAATAAAAAAGCAGTAGACACAGCATCTGGTTCTGGATTAGGGACCACACACAACAGCTTCAGGGTTGCAGACAAAGTCATTTACCACTGGAATCAAATGCGGCCAAAGGAAATTCGCCCAGATACCAATCTGCAACATTACTTTATGGTAAATCTGATCAACCGACAGAGACACTCCTAGGAATCTGATCTTATTCCTGCAAAGCCAAATAACCCATAGCAGTTCAAAAAAACCAAGTTTCCAAAGATTTCGACGCCTCTTCCTAATTTTTTGAGAAAACCAAGTTTCCAATAAATGTTTAACATTATTTGGAAACACCAGATTTACTTCCCACATTCTACACCACCTTTGCCAAACAACCCAGATTACAACACAATGACATAATATATGATTAATTGCTTCCGGTTCGCTATTACAAAATAGACAAGATACCTGATATGAGCAGTTGACACCTCTTTTAGCTAACTCTAGCATAACTGGCAATCTATTAAGGACTTCTTTCCACACAAAGGTCGAAACCTTTTGAGGAACAAAATTCACCCAAACCATTTTCCCCACAGGATCTTCCAATCTACCTTCACAAGCCACTTTTAGACAGAAAGATTTTGTGTTATAGATTCAATATTGCGCACCCGACCAAAATAGTCTATCTCGTCCTTGATTAGCAGAAATCGCTTTATTTAAAACAAGGATGAACTCATGCCAGATTGGCTTCTCCTAATCAAATAAAACTCTTCTCAGCTCAATCCTCCATTCCCAAGAGCCATGCCACCAACGACCAAACTCCTTTAACTTACCACATTTTTTAACTGCTACACCAAAAATTCTCGGGAAAGAAATTTTTTTCAGTCCAAAAATCAGACCATAAATCTATTTTTCCCCATCACCCATAACAAATCTCAAATCAGAAAAAAATTTAGACCCCAAAACCCGTGTCGAAACGGTTTTTTTCAGGTGGAGGTGAGATTTGGAAAACCACGTCATTTTTAATTATATCTCTTAATTGATTGATTTTTAATTAAAAAAATATGTGATTTAAAAAAGCCTCTCGTTTCGAAAAATTTGGGATTCTTTTTTAAAATAAAATATGTGGTTCGAGGAGTCACCACCAATCTTTGATTAGGGTGTGATTGAGCACCCAAAAACGTTATCATTTTAAATAAAATAATAATTTTAATTAAAATAGCAAATTGAGGTATGCGTTATCAAAATCTGAGTTCGGGAGTCGATTACGCGTGGGGAAGGATTAGCACCCCACAACGCCCTAAATCGGTACCTAATCGATTAATTAATGTCTTTACAACGAAATTTACAAATTCAAATTTAAATTGATTTATGATCCCTTAAAACAACAATTGCGGATTTTATAACATTTAAAAGCAACGAAATATGTTAAATTAAAATTACCAAACCAATAAAAAGATAAAGAATATTCGATTATTTAAAAATATTGAGACCAGATCTTTAGGTCAATTCTAACGACCTTTTCTCAAAAAATTTAAATAGCCGAACATTTCTTTTTTTTTCGTTACCAAACTTTAAAGTGATGAATCAATTTTTAGATGTCACTAATGAGATACACTTTTAATTTAAAATTGTCAAAAGCGAATCTCTAATCAGTTAAGACAAACCACTTAAAACAATTTTAAATTAAATGTATATTACCCTTAATTCAATTATGTAATTATGTCGAATTATGCAAACTAATGTCATGTAATATTGGAAGTGAAACAATTGTATACTCGAACGTACATAAACATGTAAATATACAAGAACAAATGTTTACAGCTAATTTGAAAAAATACCTATACATATCCCATGAATTAGTATGTGTGAACTTTATATATTATTTTAGACATGCTTATGAGGGTATTGTATTTTAGAATCTAAAACTACATGCGATTAAAATTATAAGGTAGCAATAAATCTACATGATTTTATACTAATTAAAATAATATGGAGATTAAAAAAAGAAAAGAAAAGAATGCATTGTATATAGAATACCATAAACAAAGTCTAGTACATATATACATATAAATATACATTACAAATTATGCACAACATATATGCTAATATACTACTGCACGTATATATATATACCCTAATGCACGTAAAAAAACCTAATATGTGCTAATACACCGATGGATTAAAATGCAATTTAACCAAATTTAATGTACTAGAACCAACATCAACCCCAAACATGTATAGGATTAAAATTATAATAAACCCTAAACTTACACAAGACCAAAATGAAAACCAAGAAAAAAAAACATGCTTAATATGCAACATCATGGAAACTTAAACAACGTAATCCCAGGACTAAAAAATAACATTTGGAAATTGAAGTTCTAAATGTGTAAACGAAAGAAAATAAATATATTAGGATGAAAATCAAATACGCGTAAAATATAAAGACCAAATTAAAACTTAAAAGACTCGCTTTGAGGACTAACATGGAATACGCGTCAACTTAGGAACCATAAACAGAAACTTCAGAAATTAATTTAGGGACCAAAACGCAATCTATTAAAACCCAAAGGGACCACACGCTTGATTTCCCTCACCTCTCATGACATTGTCGTTTTTACCCTTAACTTTAAGTATTTAACTTAAATTTTTTTTGTTTCATTTCATAATTAAACCCTAAAAATTAACTACATCCCCTTTCAGCCGCATCTCCAAATCTCTCCACACTCTGTTTGCAAGCTCTGGTCGAAACCTTTGCCAAACCATCGCCACCATGCCTCCATCTTTCCCCTGCTCCGGTAACCACATCAGCGCCGGGACTCACGACCACTCTCTTATCTTCTTCTTTGATCGAAACCAAGAGTCACCATCGCTTCAAAACCCAGCAAAACAATGCCGACCATACCTCCTTGGTGGTTGTTTTTCACTCTGATCGTCAACTTCCTAATGAAAATCAAACCTACGCAAACAAATTAGCTCTCCTTTCACTCGATCACTGCCACAAAGACCACGGTTGATGCCCCTAAATGCCCTATATGGGCACGATACACCTCCTTGACCACCACCGTGGTGGTTACTTGTGGTGAAGGACCCGAACCGATGAGGTAATCGCTTCACTTTTTTCTTTCCTTCGTTTTGTTTTCTTCGATTTCTCTCTGGGTATTCTCTCGTTTTTTTCTTGCCTATCTCAACGCATGGCAGTGCTCCTAATCTCCCAAAGACAACGCTCGGCCACCGTTCACTGGTGACCCCTGCTCACCTACATTCTAACACTCAGACCGGTTCTTAAATCTAACATGCAAAGGCTGAAACACCACACAAACCCCAACTCTCCGATGACGAAACCGAATCAAAAGGTAAGTCTAATTGCTTATTTCTATTTCATCTTTATTAATTCGAGCATGCTTTGAATAATAATGGTAAAGTTACTGCTGAAATATAAACATGGTTAAATACCTAAAAAAGATTATTTTACTGCTGGTATGTTGTTTGTCTTGGCTGCTGTCGTTGGATTGTTAATGGAAATGATATATTGCCTTCGTTTTCTGTTGTTGATGAACCCCTCTCATTTGCTGTTTTTCTTCGACTTTGTTACAAAAAAAAGCATACATATACCTAACACATACTGGGAATCAAAAAGAATCCGAAGAACACCTCAAAATTAATTTTCATTACTTTCGAATAAAATCGGGAAGACCCCTGTTACACTTCCTTGACTCCAGAATACAAGAGAGTTTACACTCACTGTTTTTTTATTTATCACTCTGTTTTTTTCCCGGTGTTGATGATCATCCTCTTTTCTTTTCTGTCTGTTCTCCCTCCATTTGCTAATCGTTTCTCTCCCTTTTCTAGGTAGCAGAAAACTCACATGTTACCATTTTTCTTCACCAAATTCGTTTTTCTTTCTTTCCTTTTTTTCTTCATTGCTTTATTTGGTAAGAATAGTGAAGGTAGGTAACTTGCTTTTGACATTTGCTTTATCTTTCGGTGGTGGATGAATGATTCTTTGACTTTGGAGATAATAGTTGGCTATTGTTGCAGATTGGCTCCAACAATGGTGATAGCTTGAGATGTTGCCGTGATTGGCTGCCGCTCATGCACATGGATGGGAACATCTCCTGTGCTTAATTGATTTACTTGTAATTATTTTGGGCTGTTGGATTTTTATTGGGCCTGCATTGGGCTCCGGGATTGCTTTTGTTGTAGTGGGCTTGAGCTACAAAATATGTAATTATAAATTATTAGTAATAATAATAATAATATATTAATATAATAATAATAATAAAAATAATAATAAAAATAATAATAATTAATATAATATATATTTTTAATCCCGTTCAAAAATGGGTGTTTACACCCTGCTGAGTTTATAATATAACGCGAAAACCAAGAGGAATTTCTACTCTTCAGTGCTTTAGGAACAATCGAATCTATGTCATAATTATACCTAGCCACCATGATATTCCTCCAAAGACTATCAGTTTCCAAACTAAACCTCCAAATCCATTTGTTTAGCAGTGATTGATTTCTAGTGATTGATTTCTAATTTTAACATCAAAATTTCCCAAATCCCCAAACGATTTAGGCCCACAAATGCTATCCCTTTTAACCCAATGGATACTCCTAAGACCTCTCTTGATTGAGAAACTGCTTGATGGACACCCATTGACTAGAACATCAACCGACGGAGTAAAGATACATAGATTAATCCATTTTCTCCATCTATTGTCGAAACCCATTTTCTTAAAGATCAAATTCAAAAACAACCAGTCCATCGTATCGTATTCTTTACTAAAATCAGCCTTTAATAGCACTGCTTCTTTTTTACTTTTTAGCAACCCGTCGATGACCTCATTCGCGATCAGACTACAATCGGCTATCTGTTTCCCCGCTATGAGAGTAAATTGATTCTCACAAATAACTTCAGCAATACAACAACTCAACCTCTTAGCCAGCAAATGAGAAACGATCTTGTACATACTACCAACTAAAGAAATTGGTCTAAAATCCTCTGGACAAACAGCCTCCGATTTCTTCGGAATAAGAGCAATGAAGGATTTATTGAATGAAAAATCTACTACTCTGCCCCAAAAAAATTCTTCCATAAACTTCATAACTTCACCTTTTATATGTATCCAGAATCTCTTAAAGAAATCCAAACAGAAACCATCCGGTCCTGGTGCTCTAGTTCCATCGGACGAGTTAATAACATACCAAACTTCTTCTTCCGAGAAAGGGCTCTCAATGAATCTTCTAGAAACAGCGTTTAACCTCTTTAGCAGAACATCAAATCTCTTCAAAGGGATTGTTTTCACCTCATTAAATCCAGCACTAAAATAATTTACAAACGCTTTCTGAATACTCATATGATTCTTAAAAATCAAATTTTGAAATTTCAGCTTATTAATCTAATTTTTTCAACCCCTGAGCCTAAATTTCTGTAACCATTCACGTTCCTCCTTTCTCTCGACAACCCAAAGCCTAGATTTCAACGAAATAATCTCCTGCTTTAGGATAAAATCACTCGGATCCATCAACCACCTTTCTTCCAACAATTCAATTTTTTTGGCAATCTCTAACGCATTATCAGGATAGCTCTCTTTAACTTCTCTGTTTCTGACTTTGGTTGCACTTTTTGTAAGCAACAAATTTTTTTTTAAACCCTCCACTTTGTAACGCAGACAAATCTCTTTGATTTTATTCGCCAGTACACAGTCATCAGCCTAGTAATTAAACCATTTAAACGGTCTGAAAATCCTCCTTACCGTCTTATCTTTCAAAACTATTGGATTATGATCTGATAAGCATCTTGGTAGCACAGATTGCACAAATTTAGGCCACAAGCTGAAAATATCGACAGGTATTAGAAATCTATCAAGCCTACTTGCCACAACATCATCACCACCCCTGTACCATATAAACGAATCACCCAGATTCGGCACCTCAACTCACAAGAAGAAATAAAATCATCAAATATGCTTGACGCAGCCAAGGAGGAATGCCTACCTGATCTTTCGAATACCTTCCTTACAGCATTAAAATCCCCTCCCACTATCACAGGATCATTCAAATTGGAAATAAAAGTACTCAGTTGCTCGAAGAATTCTCTTCTTTCACCTTGCACATTTGGCCCATAAACGTTAATAAACCATATCACCCTATTCTCCCCAAATAAAATTCCTTTAAGCGCTAGAAATCTTCTATGAACTGAAATAATGTTAACATCCAACACTCCTTTGTCCCACAGAGAAATCAGCCCACCTGATGCCCCTTCCGCAGGCACAAAAGCTATTTCCATATCATTTTTCCTTTCATTCTTCTTTTAAGATGGCCACTCATATCTACAACCTTAGTCGCCTGAAACATCACTACTGTAGCCTTACTCGACTCCATTACCCTATGAACATGTCTAATTTTTTCTGGTTTGCCTAATCCACGAACATTCCAAGACAAAACTGATAGACTAGAATCCATGCAAAAATTATAAACCACCCACCTCCAAACCACTGTGGAGAAACCGAACATAAAAACACCACTAACTAGATTACCCTGTAGATTCCAACCTTTGTAACACAATATCCCTCGATCCTGCAAACTCCAACCCCAAATCATCAGCAACCATGAGCATCTCCACCACTTCATTTTGAATGTTTTGCAAATCCTCAGAAGACACCCCACCTGCCGCACCATTAGCAACCCGATTGCTTCTATCATTTGACCTTCCAGCCCGATCAATTTGGCTCTGCTTTTTCCTATTTCCGTTGGAAAATCTCTTCGAAACCTTGAGGCTGACCCCAACTACTCCCTTAGCGCTTTGCTTTCTAGGTTTACCAGTACCAGAGATCAGAGGAAATTCGGACCTCTTCAGCGAAGACCCAATACTGCAATCACGGTTAGCGACCGGGACAACCTTGTCCACAACACGAGAAGAAGACACCTCAACTAGAGGCACGTCTAATAGCCTAGAGAAATGGGATATAGAATGGGTCGACAAATCACATTCCTTATCCTTGTTAATACCAATCAGCCCAGAGCTATAATCCGAAACAGGCTACACCAATGGCCCAATTTGAGAAGAGTTAGGAACATCAAACAGCCCTACTATGTTATCATCTCCACCAACCTCGATATTCTCAGCAGACTCCACCCCACCATCCAAAGGAGCATTATCGATAACATGCCTCTGACATACCACCTCAACTTGTTCCTGGAAAACTTTACCATCCTCGAGCCCAACACCCGTCATGCCCTCAACCTCGACAATAGGAGCGATTGAATCGTCTACAACATCCGCATACCACGCTCCCTCCCATACTGTGGATCCATCAATAAGAGTTTTATCCTCTTCCTTAACTTTGGATTGAACTTTAATGAAAAATAAGTTACCATTTAACAAAATGGTGAATTTCTTAGGTAAAGATGATACGGATTGGACTTCTAATAGAACTCTTGCAGCATCAAACTTGACTCGATCAGTAGTTTCTTTGTCTATCAAAACAACTCTCCCCCAAAAACTTCCAACATCATGAAAGAATTTATCACACCATATAGCAAGCGGAACATCTATCAGAGACACCCAAACTTTTATTTTAAGCTTGTTTTTGTAACCCTCCATCAGCTTTAACTCATCAAACCAGATTTGAATCCAATCATCTCTATTTAACCAGCAAGACTGACGATCTTTGCTATTCTTGAATTGGATAACTATCAGCAGATCGTGCCAAATGCTCACCTTAACATCCAGACCTTCGGCTTTGAAAGCTGATTGAATAATACTCTCGTTATACATGTTCTTAACTTTTCCAACCAAACTTCTATCCCTCCATGAAAGCTCACTCTTAGGAATTAACATATTCCTGTTATCCACAACCGCATTTGAAGAGGAACTTGCTTCACTACCATCCGTAACGAAAACACGGATAATATCTTAAGGCTGGCTTCCATATTTATTTAAAACTTCTTTCCTCTTCAGCCTTCTTACCTAGCCCAACATACTTATTATCATGGTAAACTCTGATTTTAAACCCATCCATCACCCTACCATTAGCTCTCAACATCGCTTGATTAGTTTCAAACCGATTCCTGAACCTAACGAAAATGAATGTAGACCCCATCAATCTTCTTTTCGAACTCTTATACGCAATGAAAACATCCAACACAATCCCATAGGCCTGGAAAGCATTCTTAAGAGAGGAGACGAGAATCCTCTTACTCACAAAATTGAAAAACACCGTGGATCCAGAGGAGAGACGATCAGAATATTAAGTGGTGACGTGTCACTACTAGTTTGGAGAATATTTTATTAATTTTAATTAATTAATTTATTTTATTTTATATCTAGTCAGGTTTTGACACATTTCACCACCTTATTTAATAAGAAAAATGCATGTAATATAATCTACTTCTGAGGGACATCAAACCAATGACTTGTAACACACCGAAGCACAACTAAACCACAAAGCTAAGCCCTTCACTTGGTATTTGTCTATAAAGTTTTATATATAAGTTGTTATAACTAATGACAGAGAGAAAAAAACCAACATACTTGTAAAGGGATTCAAATCCTATATTTAATTAAATTTATAATGTTATATATATAATTATTAAATTGAGTTTTTAAATAAAAATAAAATTTATATTTTTACATTTTTAAAATATATTTATTCTTTATATATAATCGTTAAATTAACCTTTTCAATATAATTAATAATTTTAATTTTAATTAATGATTAAATATAAAGAAATTATATATATAAAGATTATTAATTATGTTAAAAAAATTAAAATTAAATAAATAAATATAGTTTAGAATCTGAATTTCATGAAATTGATTTTTAAATTTCAAATTCATTTTAAAAATATTAAATTTTTTTATACATAATAAATTTATTATATATTGTTTTAAATTTTGTATTAACTATATTTTAAAATGAATATATTTATAAATTACTAACTAAAGTTTCTTAAATAGTTTTGGTGCTTATATTCTCCACACACACAAAAAAATTAAAGTTTGATTCATTTTATTGTTTTCGTTATAATACAAGGTAAACATAATATGAAGCTAAAACTAATTGTTGGTACAATGGTAAGAACTCACTCAAACATCTCATGAGACCAAGTTCAATTTCTTCAATTATTTATTTTCCTTTCAATTTGTTTTCTTTATATCATATGGTCTTTAGCTGGAAACTATAAAGTGTTGTAAGATAT